TCTCCCATACCACTGCAAATGACCGTTATACTTCCAATGACATTAAAAGAAATACGTTGAACTGGCATTGATTTTCCATATGCAACATTTGCACTGTGTATGTGTAATGATTGGATCAGATACCATCCCTGTATAAAGTTTAGAAGGGTTGCTTCATATTGATTAAAGTGTTAATTTTTGAAACTTTCCATACATGAGCAAGAGAGAAGTTGATGTAAAGATCTGGTGCTACTTTTCAGGCTCAATACATAATAATAATCCTACAATAATCCTTGCATTTGGTATGGTGCCTTATCACATCTAGACATCTCAAAGCGCTTCACAGAACATACTGTAACAACAACTTGAACTGTACACAAAGTGAACTGACTATATATTTGTGGGCGAAACGCAGCAGCCAACAGCAGTATCCCACAAACAGTCATGGATTGAGTGACCAAATATATTTTTTGGTGGGGATTATTATCCCCAGAAAAGCGATCCGCCAATCGACTAACAACCAGATTCCTCCTTACTACTAGGTAAACAGAAGTATGTGGAGCAAGGAAACGTGCCCAATAATAATCCCTCAAGAAAAAAAATACTAAATTGGTCACTTCAATCCACGACTGTTTGTGGGGAAACTGCTGTGCGCAATTGGCTGCCGCGTTTTGCCCGCAAATATACAGTCAATTCACTATACAGTATAATCTGTGAAACGCTTTGAGACGTTTAGAAGACATGAAAAGCGCCATATCAAATGCAAGGAAGGATTATTTTATTGCCCAACGTTTAACTTGTCCAATGTTTCATCTGGCCTGGAACCAAACCCAGGTCCTCTGGTTTCCAAGGCGAGTACTCTAACCACTGAGTTACAGGACTCCACAAACCCAGTTTGCAATTCTAACATTTCACTCCAGTGCTCTATTTCCAAACACTATACTGCCCCTTTGTAAATGCATGTTGTTGTCAGAATGGCATGACAGCTAGAAAGGTAGCCACTGCTGACTCTGCTACGTTTGTCAGTCGACCATTCTATCCTTCTCCATCACCTCTCCTCTCAGCTCAACCTTCACAGACCTGCTCTTGTATGGTTCAAATCCTACATGTCCCACCATCTCCACTAACGGCTTCTCCTCCAGCCCCCGCAAGTGCGGCGTTCCTCAGGACTGTCCTTGGTCCCCTCCTTTTCAACATTTACATGCTCCCTCTTGGTGACATCATCCGAGACATAGGGCCATCTTCCATATGTATGCAGATGACACCCAACTTTACCTTTCCGCCTCCACCCTCGACTTCAGGACCACTTCTGTCCTCATAGACTGCCTGTCGGACATCAACTCCTGGATGAGAGCAAACGTCCTCCAGTTGAATGTCAACAAGACCGAGGCCATCCTGCTTGGCTCCCATCAGCACCTCCATACCTCGTGCTGACAACATCACCCTGCATGGACGTACTCTGCACCTCACGGAGCCAATACGGAACCTCGGCGTCCTGTTCAACCCTCAACTGTCCTTCATCCCCCACATCTGTGCCATGACCCACTCTGCCTTTCCCCACCTCTGCAACACTGCCCGGCTCCACCACTGTTTCACACCGCAGCCACCAAAAACCCTCATCCACGCATTCATCACATCCATGATCCCTGATGTGGTTTTATTTGCTGGTGCTGCTTTCACATATGCAAAACAGAATTCAGTGGATCAAATGTAAGTCGGATTATGCATAATTATTGGATCTGACTCAACCATCAAATGTCTGTACAAAAGGATGCGATTCCAAAGGCAAAAATAGCTATTTTAATGCTGGTGGTTGCTCATCTCATCTTTTACTACAACGGTTTTAATTGTTTCACCCTCTAATACTAATATTGCATTTGTAATTTCAACATTAAGAATTTATTTTACTTAAAAAGGACCTGCCATACTACAACAACTTGCATTTATATAGCGCCCTTCACTCTGGGGTGGAGCGTCCCAGAGTGCTTGACAGTGGCGGAGTCTGATCCTGAGCCATAGGGAGAGGTGACCGTAAGCACAATCAAAAAGGAAGGCTTTTAGGTAGGGTTTGAAAGTGGGGAGGGAGGGGACAAGGCGGAGGGAGTGAGGGAGAGAGTTCCAGAGTTTCAAGGCATAGGGGAAGAGGGACGAACAGGACGCTGGAGCCAGCCAAGCAGAGGTAGCGGGTGGGGGAGTGGTGGATAAGCAAATTGGATAGTTGGGTGGTGCGAGGGCATGAAGGGATTTGAAAGCGAGTGAGAAGATTTTGAAATCCATCCGTTTGGTAATTGGGAGCCAGTGGAGACTGACAAGGACAACATGTGAAAGGATAGTTTTGTGCGGGTGAGAATCCAGGCGACAGAGTTCTGAATTAGTTGTATTTTGTGTATGGTTTAGTTGGAGAGACCAGCGAGGAGGGCATTGGAATAGTCCAGCCAGGAAGTGACAATGGCATGGATGAGAGTTTCAGCTGCTTTTGTTGTGAGGTACGGACATAGGCTGGCAATGTGATAGAGGTGGAAAAAAGCGGTCTTGGTCAGGGAACAGATGTGGGGTTGAAAGGAAAGCTGGGGATCGAACCTGGATCCCCAAAGTTGCGCATGGATTTGGTGAGCCTGAGGGAGAGCCCGGGGAGGTTGAGGAGTTCAGATCCGCAGGAGAAGACGTCTTCTCCCAATTAACGAGAATACGAGAGCCAATGAGTATGGTTTCCGTCTTGCCGACATTCAGCTGCAGGAAATTTGTGCTCATCCAACAAACAAGCTGGCAGGACATCAGCAGACTGGGAGTCGCAGCTGGAGGAGAAGAAGATTTGAGTGTCATCCGCATACATGTGGAAGTGGGCAGAGGAGTGGGAGTTGGGTGAACAGAAGCTGCCTCGGGTGGCGAGGGGTTCGCGGCAGCAGGTGGTTGGGCTTCATCTTGGTGGAGGCTGGAGAGATTGTGTGTGTGTGGTAGGAGGAGAGGATGGTGAAGGAGGCATGGAGGTGGGGGCTTGACAGGGGATGTGGAGGAAATGGTGTGTTGTGGAGAACAGGATTTGGGGGTTATTTTTGGCCTTAAGAATGACCTGTGAATAGAAGGCGGTTTGGGCTTAAGAGAGGGAGTGGCAGTAGATATGAAGATGCTCAAGCCAAAATTGTCAGTGAACCGTGAGGCCGGTTTTGTGCTATGCGCTCAAGCAATTAATATGGAGGGTGAGGTTTAGGGTGGGGGAGGGCAGTGAAGTCATAGGAGATGGGGCAGAGGAGTTGAAGTGAAGGTTGTTGAAGTCACCCATTATGAACAGGCGTTCAGTGCAGAGGGACAGGGATGAGAGGAGACAGGAGATATCCTTGAGGAAGGAGCCAGGAGCTTGGTGGGGGCAGCGATAGACCAGGAGAATTTTGAGGGAGAGAGAGGAATGGTGGTGCATGGTGAGATGCTCAAATAAGGGGGAAACAGGCAGATGAGTAGGGAGATAGACCGAGGGAGGTTTGAGAGATGAGGGCCACCCACCACCGTGACGGTGGGGTCAGGGGGTATGTTGGCAAGTATAGCCAGGGGATAAGCTTCAATGAGGGGGACGGGGTTGCTGGGGGGAGGAGTCACGGGGAGAAAATGACCATGGGGTTTGATGGGGGAGTAGAGGTGGGAAGGGTGTGGATGTGGATAAAGGAAGTGGGGTTTGCCTTTTGGTGGTAGGGGAGGGCCTTGTGGAAAGTGGCCGATAGGGCAGTCAGAGTGGCTGCTCTGGAACAACCATGAACGTGTGCCGCAATGAACACGTCGGAAGATGCCCAGGCTGGAGCAGAGGGAGGCAGTGGAAAAGTCCAGGAGAGAGAAAAGATAAGGAGGGCAGTGGGAGAGAAAGACAGAGGTCAAGTAGCGGAGGATAGGAAGTAGAAATGGGGACATTTTGAGGGGTTTGGCTCGGATCGGGGGTGACAGCTAATGCTAGTGAATGGATTAAACTATGCAGAAGAAACTTGCTAATAGGCATAACCAAGCTGAACCTTTTCCAGTGCTCAATCCTAACCAGACTCATTACTGAACACAAGTCTTCATGTTTAGCATACAGTTAGGTTCTCTACTGAAAACACATGCCACCAACTCTGTTCAGTGGACTAATCCAAGTGTTGCTTCCGTTGACCCAAAACATAACAGTAATGAGGTTCTAGGATGAATTCACTTATGAAAGAGTTACAAAAATGTTTTATCCTATGCTTATGGCTTTCACTCAGAAACTCTAGAATACCAATAATGAAATCCACTGCTGCATAACACAAAAACAATTTCTAAAGCTCTTTCCTTGACAAACAGAAAACACACTCCTCATTCGTATACAGTTTACTTATTGGAAATGTTCATAGCAATGATAATACATTGTGATTAGCTCCATTTTGCAAAAGCATTTTGCAAAAGTTTGGAAAGTACGTAGCCAATGGAAAAAATTTTAATACATGATTTAATATCATTATACAATCAGAGCAACTGGACAACAAACTGCCTACAACCTCAAGATTTACTGGTTAATTAATTAAGTGCATTAAAGTGCAGAATAAAATCCCTGCTATTTTATATTTTTGCCTCGGATATCCAAAGAAGCCCATCCGTAGAGAACTGGGATCACAGTTAATACAAGAGTCCCATCACCGCCTCCCGGGGGGGGGGGGGGGATCCTGTCGGGAGGCCGCAGCAGGGGATGTGCTTTGGCGCATTTGACCCGAAAACAACACCGTGAGCCACGCAGCCGCCCACCATTTCCAGGGGCGAGAGGGGCTTCACTGTTGACCCAACCTCCTCCCAACCCCCTCTCTCCTTACAGACAAAATGGCTTTCTCGCCAAAAAAAAACCCGCGCAGGACGCGCCTCACAGCCTCACGCCTGAGCTCGACCCCCACCTCCCTCAAGTCCTACACCGCCCCTTCCCCCCTTCAGGCCCACATTCCTCTCCCAGTCTGGACGGTTTCCAACCGCCCAAACCTCGGCGAGGCCTTCCTTCCGAACAGTATTTCTCTTTCTCTCCCGCCGTTACTCACCGTCAGGGCCGGCCCCAGGATGACGGCCCGGATCAGGCCGGCGTGCCAGTCCCTCTCCTCGAGGGACAGGGGCTGCTGCCCGGCCCGAGCAGGCGCCGAATCCCCGAAGAGGCAAAGCAACCGCTTCCCGATCAGGTCCGTCCCGGCTGACGCCATAGAGTGAAAGGAAGAAGCAAACAATAATAATCAAACAAGATTTGTTTGTTTTCCTCCCGAAACAGACGCACTGAGTCCCTCCCCGAGAGCGAATCACAGCGATTCCGCCATTACACTCTCTGCACCACCAGCCAGTGCGGCTCCAATAACTGGAGCTGCCGGCACCGCGCCCCCTGGCGGCCTGGAGGAACGGCGCCACCGCGCCCCCTGGCGGCCTGCAACATCAATACAGCCGTCGCGGACCGGTGAGAGGAGCAGAACAGTCAAGAGGGATGTCTGAAGGGAACTCACTAGTCACAGCACCACCTGCCGGGCTGGAGAGCCAATGTTACAGCATTACAACAACAAATTACATTTATATAGCGACTTTCACGTCAGGAGGACGTCCCAAGGCGCTGGACAATTGGGGATCTGCACCCAAGTTGGGTGGTTGGAATCAGGAGGGGTGGAGGGTGACAGATGTATTGCCACTGCAACAGTCAACCAGAGTAAACACAGAGAAAGGCCATGCTTGTTGACCGTAACATTCATACAAGGCACACCGAGGACATTGTGAAAGAGATAGTAAATAGACTCAGTTATGGAAGCTCAAGGAAAATGATAAAGAGGTCCATAGCAAAAAAAACAACATTGATAACTTGCCGCCTCGTAGGAATCAGATCATGAGGTTCTCAGGGTTCTGTAGAAAACAAGTCTACAATAGTTTGGGGATATAAGGAAGAGGTTTTTCCAGTAATCGTTGGGAGACTGTGGGAGATGAAGGGAGAATATAGGAGCAGAGAGGGAGCTGAAGGGAGCAGAACAGTCAAGAGGGAAGAATAAAAGGGAGCAGAACAGTCAGAGAATCCTGCTGTTATACAGCTGCGTATACTTTCTAATAAATGTTGATTTCGACACTCTACATTTTGAGTACACCTGTTGTTCAGCATCGAACGTGTAAGTTCTTTGGAACGAAGGGGACGAGGTTGACAGAGGGCGGGGAGGATAGGAGTAGGAGGGTGACCAAAGGCACGGTCAAAGTACTGGGTTTTGATGGAAGCAAGGGAGGGGGTGAGGCAGAGGAACTATGGAATGGAGTTCCAGAGGATGCGGGCAGAGAGGCTGAAGGCCGGCCCGCTCATTAATGGTGGGGGGCAAGGCAGGGGACGTGAAGCAGGCCGCAGCTCGCTGAGTGGAGGGAGCAGACAGGTTGGTAGGCTGTTAGGTTTGCTCCTAAAGGAACAAGGCCATGGAGGGCTTTGAAGGTGAGGATCAGGATCTTGGACTGTATCCTCTGACTGATGGGGAGCCAGTGGATGCAGAGAGAGTCCTGGTTGCAGATGGACAGAATCTCACCAGTGACTTTGACCAGGTTCCAACCTGATTGGAGGGGTTCAAAGAGGGAGAGCATGAAGCTGGGACGCAATGATTCATTCCAGGGCCTTGGAGAGGAAAGTGAGGTTGGAGATTAGGAGATAGCTGGAGAGTTGGGATGGATCCAGGGAAGGTGATGATCGGCCAGATCGGGCATATTTTATGATTTGTTTGTGTTTGGTCATCTTTGGTTCATTTCTACTGATTGTTGTTTCAAATGCAGATTAGGAGGTTTCATGGTGATACGTATTAGAATAGCTTTTTTTTGTATTTTCAAACTTCCCAAATAAATAATAAACAATTTATGAGAGCAGCACTCTTTATATATGCTTGTTATAAATAAAGCATTATTATTTTAGTGTATAAGCATTTATAGAACCATAGAGTTATATAGCACAGAAGAAGGCCATTCGGCCCATCGTGTCTGTGCCGGCTCTTTGAAAAGAGGTATCCAAATCAATCCCACTCCCTCACTTTATCCCCATAGCCCTGCAAACTTGTCCTCCCAAAATAATTATCTACTTCTCTTAAAAGTTTTTATCGAATCGGCTTCCACCACCCTTTCAGGCAATACATTCCAGATCCAAACAACTCGCTGTGTGAAATGTTTTTCCTCAACCTCCTATTTCTTTTAACAACTATTTTAAATCAGTGTCCTCGGATAACCAACCCACACACCAATGGAAATAGTTTCTCCTTGTTCACCCTATCGAATCTCCTCATAATTTTGAAAACTTCTATGACATCTCCTCTTAACCTTCTCTGCTCCAAGGAGAATAATCCTCGCTTCTCTCGCCTCTCCTGATAACTGAAGTCCCTCATTCCTGGTACCATCCTGGTAAATCTCTTTTGCACACTCTCCAATGCCTTGACATCCTTCCTAAGTGTGGTGCCCAGAAGCAAACACAGTCTCTCGCTGAGGCCTAACCAGTGTTTTATAAAGGTTCATCATAACTTCCTGACTTTTGTATTCTATGCCCCTATTTATAAAGCCGAGTATTCCATATGCTTTTTAACAGCTTTATCTACCTGTTCTGCCACCTTCACAGATTTACTTATTTGAACCCCCAGGTCTCTCTGTCCCTTCCCCCCCTTTAAGATTGTACCATCGGCTTATATGGCCTCTCCTCATTCTTCCTCCCAAAATGCATCACTTTGCATTTTGCGAATTCACTTTGTCAATTTGTCAATTCACTTTACAGTCTATTCTGTGAAATGCTTTGAGACGTCGAGAAAACGTGAAAAGCATTATATCAAATGCAAAGATTATTATTATTATTATTATTTCTCCTCATTAAACTTCATCTGCCATGTGTTTGCCCATTTTACCAGACTATCTCTGTCCATTTGCAGTCTTCTACTATCCTCCTCACTGTTTACTATTCGTAGCTTAGTATCATCTGCAAACTTGGAAATTATACTCCCTATACCCAAGTCCAGGTCATTTATATATCAAAAACAGCAGTGGTCCCAATACCGACCCCTGGGGGACACCACTGCACACTTCCCTCCAGTCAGAAAAACAACCGTTCACCACCACTCTCTGCTTTCTGTCTCCCAGTCAGTTATGTATCCGCTGTCACTGTCCCTTTAATACTGTCGGCTTCTATTTTGCTTTCAAGTCTCTTATGTGGTATTTTATCAAAAGCCTTTTGAAAATCCATATAAACTACATCAACTGCACTACCTTCATCCACCCTCTCTGTTACTTCATCAAAAAACTCTATCAGGTCTGTTAATGCTTCACATTAAAAATATTTGAAGTTTAGATGTGTATTTTTACCAATTGACAGATATATCTTGTGGCAGGGAAACCACATCTGTCATATGTAAAGAAAGTATTATAGATTAAAAACATTCACACTCACCAGATCTCTCATTTGCGAGGTGAGTGCTCTAACCTCTAAGCTACAGGACTCCACAATGGGATTCTTCAGTCAGTGCCCTTCGCCCTTCAGACAGCTAACTTCCGCAGTAGCCTGTTTGTGTCTCTCCCTCTCTCTTTGAATTTAACAGAGACTCCAGATGCACTCTTTAGAATACATAGCGGTATTTTATTGGTCCTTACAACCCTATGCCTCACTTGCAAGAGTTTTCGACCGTGCCTATATCTTACAACTGTCGCAATGTTAAGAAATAAAAACACCCTGGCACCACAACTATGACACAAGCAGTTTTATCAAAAGTTAATAGACAAAAAAAACAATCTTGATCTGGAGACAAGGCTCTCAGGTCAGGCATGTACCTCCTTGATGACACTAAAAGCGAAGAGCGACCCCAAGTTTAATGAGCCTCCTCCCTCCTTTTTTCAATGTATCACTTGATACCTTTTCCCGCCATTTCGAGTCTCCACCTCTTCCAATGCATCACTTGGTTCCCGCTCCAAGACCCACGTGACCCTTTCCTGCCTTTTCTGCTGCAACACTCACCCAGGTCACAGACTTTGTGTCATCAAGACTGTTCCACTTTAAAATTATATTCTGATCCATAGACCATAATTGCACTTAAAGCGAAGCGTCTTATTTTAACACAAACTCTCCATACACAGACTATCTACAGCAAATATCATTAGAACAAGGTAGAGCATTAATAAAAGCGGAGGTACCAGACAGGTTGATAAAGGGTTAGCAGGTCGGAGAGGTAGGAGGGGACAAGGCCATGGAGGGCCTTGAAGGTGAGGACAAAAATTTTGAACTCGATCCTCTGACGGATGGGAATCCAATGGAGTCAAGCAAGGGTGAATGTCTCAAAGCACTTCCCAATAACCAGACCTGAAACAATCACCCTACAAAAACAGTCACTACACTTGACAGCAATTACGATAAAACACTTTGGGGCATTTTGACATGGTAAGGCACTATAAAAATGTAGGTTCTTTCTATTCCATCAAGTGAAGCTGAGTGTTTGCTCCTACTATAGCTGCTGCTTAGGCAACAGCTATCTCCTCCTTTGATATATGTTGCACTAAACAAAATCATTCTTCGCAATAACTCTCTGTTGCCATGACTGCCATCATGATGAGTAATGAACACTGTGCTACAATATATCTACACTGATTGGCTCTGCTTCAACCCTCTCAGTTTACACAGCAGGCAGACATGATAACACTTTCATTCAAATTAGACTCAAAGTTTGCTTTGTCAAAGCTTACAGCTATGCATATCCCTTCCTCACTTGCTATCAGCACACAATACTTCAGCTTGAGAGGTCAGAAGACACACCGGCTGCCATTATGTGGTAAAGGCACACACTGTCGAAAAGAAAAGCTTCGCCTACAAAATATACAGTCACCACACTTCCTAGCAAATCCTGTGAAGTGCTTTGAGACATCTCCTGATGTGAAAGGTGCTATATTAAATGCGAGGGTTTTTTGAATAAGCAATTGGCATTTTCTTTATCTATTCATTCTTATTGACTATAGGTGTACAGCGGACACACTACACATCTAGTTTTGCTGCATGGGTCATAAGTGCATATTATAGACACCTGAGCCATGTGCACACAGTATAGACAGGTTCTAGGTGAAACCAAATGGAGCCTATTACTGCACAATATGCATATAGGCCTTGGCCCTGATACACGTTAACATAATTTTAAGTGTACATTGTTGACATGCACATTTTGATTGCACTCTAGATAGGAAATATTCACAGAATTCACAAGGGCCCCGCTTTATCTATTGACCAGCTGTACCCGTTGCAACTTTGCTTGCAACCAAAGGGTCCAATATGAAATGTAGAAAGACACACAGACAGACATTTCATCTTTACCTGTACTTATCTGGGAGGACTTCTGTGGGAGGACTCCTTTTGGGAGAACTCAATGGGAGAACTCGGCGCTTTAAAAATGTAATTTTCTTGTTGTTGCCGCAGCTTATATGCCTGTGTTCCTTATTTTGTTCCCGCCACTTGGCTGCATGCGTGCTCTGTGACACAAGATGCCACAGCACCACGGTCAGCCAGCGCGGCCACCAGGTATAGCTGAAGTGTACATATGTAGCCGCTCTGTGACATATGATGCCACAGCGCCACTTTGACTCGGCGGTCACCAGGGGTAACTGCAGCGAAAAACAAAAAACTAAAAATAACTCATGAACAATAGGAGATACCCCAAAACAAATATGCCCACATCACTCCTAGATGCAAGACCTTTCCAACAAATTATAAATCATGTTTCTACATCAATTGGCTATTGAGATCCTTCTAAAGTGCAGACAGACATTGTCGTTTTATTAGTATGTATATATAGATAGATAGATAGATAGATAGAGAGAGAGAGAGAGAGAGAGAGAGAGAGAGAGAGAGAAGAAGAAGATAGATATAGGTGTAAGATTGAATTATTGGACCCAAACAGGAAAACTGATTACACACTGTTGAAAAGCAATGAGACATTTTTTTTCAGCACAGAAAGGGTGGACAATTCTGTCACCTGGCTTTCCAATTACCCATTTGTATTACAGTAAATCCACTTTCCACCTGTTTCCCCATGTCTTAAATGTTATAATGCTACCTCGAATTTATAACATTAAACACTGTTTGTGGGACACTGCTGTGTGCAATTAGTTGCCACCTTTCACCTACAAAATACACACAGTTACAATATATTCAGTGAAGTGCTTTGAGACATTTCAAAGACATAAAAAGGTGCTGTACCAAAATGCAAGAATTATTATTATTATGTCCCTTTTGAGCTCTATATTTGCTTCTAAAATGAGGTGGGAGCATAAGAAGATAAGAATTTGCTAGATGGAAGAAGACCAACGTCTATCTAGTTCGCCTTCCACTATCCTGGCAGTCGCATGACATATCGTGTCCAAACCCGGGTTCGATTCCTGGCAGGGCGAAACCTTGGGCAAGTTTCCTTACTCTCCATGTCTCTGTTTTCTTAGCAGTAAGTAGGAACCTGGTTGTTAGTTGATTGGCAGATCGCTTTTTACCGGGGGTAATAATTCCTTGAAAAATAAATAATAAATTGGTCACTCGATCCATGACTGTTTGTAGGACCCAACGGTGTGCAATTGGGCTGCCGCATTTATCCCACAAAATATAGTCAATTCATTTTACAGTATGTTCTGTGAAGCGCTTTCAGACGTCTCAAAGGGGTTATATCAAATGCAGGGTTTTTTTAATATTATATCCCGAGATATTATTTCCTTACAGCAATCTATCTGATTTGTGCTTGAAAGAATCGACACTTTACTTGAACAAAGAAATGAATTGTACGCGGTAAATAAAATCGGACTCACGAATTTTTTTAATCAATCATAATCGTATTTTTTGTCGGCAAATGGGCTGTCTTTACTGTGCCATTCCCCTTTAAAGCGGCTCTCCTTGGCTGAGAAAGCCGGAGCGCCGCCGCCCGCGGTCGCCCTGTGGGTGAAGGAGAGCGCAGCCGCTACACCGCACATCAGCTGTGAAGCTGTGAGGACAGTGCGGGGCGGACCCTTCACACCATTTGCAATAATAATAGTAAAACACACTGGATCCTTTCACAGCCACACCTGTCCTGTGCAGACCGGCCTCGCCATGGTGTCCTGGATGATCTCACGATTGGTCGTGTGAGTATTTAACAATTGTTCACAGTATCTTTCTCACTAAATCCAAAACCAATCGCTGTCTTTTTTGGGCAAATCCACTTAGTCAATGGCAAACGCTGGGAGTGGATACAGTGCTGTACTTTGCTTTTGAAATTTTTTTTTAAAAAAAATAATTTTAGAAAGGCTTTTGATGTCCTTTAATGTCTTTGGTGAAAATGATTCAAAATGGATACTTTTTTAGCAAAGTGCAGCCGCGGGCAGAGCGGTGGCACCGGCCCCGGGAGCGGCGGAGAGCACCGCCGTCTGCACTACTTGGGTTCATTAACCACTTAAAATGATGGCATTCGTCGTATGTGTGACTGTTATTTACCCCCAATGCTGCATTGTGCAAAATCTTTATTCTTTATCTCCTATGAGCGTTGAGTTGGTTTGTAATTGATTTTCATTTGATTTGTAATTCTGCCTTTTTTTAAAAAGAGTGGATCGGATTTATTTTTTGATGAAAAACGCTGTTTTTATTATTTGTGTGCGTTTGGTTATGTGCGCAGAAATGTATTTAAATGTTGCATCGATATTTGGGAGGAGCGGTTGTAATTTCGTTATTGCCTTTGGTTCAACCGATCGTTAAAAGATAATTGAGCAGCAAAGAAAATGGAACCGGTTTATTCTGCAGATTTGTGTTCAGTTACTGTAGTTGGAGACTATGCGGATTTGCACAATCTCCTCGCAAACTGACAGCAATCAGTTGCTGCTCTGCTCTGCTCTGCTCTGCGGGTCAGTGCATCAGTAACCGGTGCGGAGTGAGCAGCACATTCTGGAATGATCTCAGATGATGGCTGCCTGGTTCTCTCGTCTCATTCCCCAACCAAGTGGCTCTCAGTCTGGTACAGGTACAGTATAGCAGTATAGGAGGGACAATGTCAATCAGGTGCAGGTGAAGGGCTTTATACAGAATGTCAGGCCAATGCTGGTGCTGGGGACGTTAGGAAGATGCAGATACAGGGCAGGACCTGGGGGTCTGAAATATGTGGAAACCCAATATTGTGCTGAAGAGTATGCAAATATGTAGTTCCATATATATACACATTTATACATATATATCAACAATAATAAATTGGGCATTTTCAATCTACGACTGTTAGTGGGACATTGCTGTGCGCAATTGGCTGCCACGTTCGCCCACAAATATAGTCAATTCACTTTACAGTGTGTTCTGTGAAGCGCTTTGGGACGTCCTCCCGACGTGAAAAGCGCTATATCAAATGCAAGGATTATTATTATTATTATTTGCATGGAATTTTCCCTCTGTTTGGAATGGAATATGTACTGTCTCCCTGGAGGGACACATCTTACTTATCTATATTATGGAAGGTATTAAGACAGGTTGACTCTTGTCAATCTGTCTTAATACAGGTGGAGCCCCCAGTGTGTGGGCGTGGGATACTGCTGGAGTTTAACCACCTTAAAACTTATAGCTTACAATGCAGATCACTGGCTAGCAAGCTTCCCTTTATATGTCCAGCTATGGCCAGAAGACTTGTCAGGGATTTGGCTTGCAAGGTGAACAGGAGCTGACTGCAGGACAGTGGTGGGAATGCCAGTGAGAGACAATGTCATAAATACCAGGATTTGCTCAAAGCGACTTGTCACGTACTGAATGTCTCTCAGTTCATTTCAGCTTCCCACATGATGCAAAAAGTCAATTTAAAAGAAAATAGAATAAAGGCATTGAGTGTCTCAACAGAAAGAATAAGGTAATGCAACTGTGAGTCACTAATGTTCTGACTCTTTGTACTGCTCAGTAATCCCCTTTACATCATCATCATTTGCTACCCTAATAATTATCACAAGCAATTATTTAATTGCTTTAAGAAAACAGTAGTCTTCTGCTCCTCCCCCCCCCTTTGGAGTTTCAAGGTTAAATGAAGGGGAAGGTGCTATGATTAATGGGTTCCTGGGATTGCTGGTAGAGTGCGACCTATGTTATTCTGGTTATTATATCAAGGAGAGCTGTTTGAAAGATCCTGAGTGAAGAGGAAGGCTGCATTGATGTCTGGGCAGCTCATATGTCAAGGAGTTCAACATCCAGTGGGTTAAAGAACACCAAACCACTCTACAACCAAATGCAAAAATAAAATACAATAAACTCCTGATAACTTGATCCTGGATTAATTTGTCACCACCACTTCAGCCATCAAGCTGTCACTATCCTGGCTGCATTTATCTATGCATTTTTATATATATAAAATATTTATATATATATAAAATATATAAAAATATGTATATATAATATATATATATGCCTAACTCGCCACTCCTGATAACTCATCACTGAACCCTTTACCCTTGGAAAGACGAATTATGAGGACAAAACCTTTGATTTATTATAGCACCTTTCATGTTAGGAGGATATCTGAAAGTGCTTCACAAGATATACTGTTCAAGTATAAGTTTCTTTCCAAACACTTTTGGAATGTGGTGGTCCCAGGTTATCTTACAATACAATACACAATCATGTTTACTGAAGGTCAAACAAGATGCCCGGGTTTCGGACTGGCTCAGTGAGGTGGAGTGTGTATCCATGGATGGTAATGTTGCCAGTGCCTGAGGTGTGGAGCACTGACGGGAGCCAATCAGCAGGGCCTCGGTCTTGTTCATGTTCAACTGTAGAAAGTTAGCTCTCATCCAGGACTTGATGCCTGACAGATATTCTGTTAGGACAGCAGTGGTCCTGGAGTCGAAGGTGGAGGCAGAGATAGAATTGGAACATAATGCAAGGAGCTGATATGGAGCCCTAGCCCAATGTGTGTCCAATTTTTGTCATGCAAAGCACAAGTTGCCTTTCCCTGCAGATCCAATTCTTTGACTAGATGACCACTCTGGGAGTAAGCAGATGTAGAATTTGCTGCTCAGATTATACTCTAAAACTCCAGTATGCTCACACTATAGAGTATAACTGCGGGGTTGATCAAAAATGAAGAAATGGGGCACTGTTGTACCTGGCCAATACGGTCAATGTGCCTCAGGAAGTTTTTTTTATAAACAAATGCCATTGAGCTGTTTAATACCAAATTAAGGCCAAGAGGGAAATAGGGGTGGGGTGGGGGGAACAGATGGGTGATTTGTCACCAACGCCTTAGAGCCTTAGCTTTAAACTCATGTTTGAAATTATATGAATTGTCTTCCTAAAACTATAGCCATGATAAATTATATTCATCAGATTGCTCTGATCCATCAATCCAGTAGATTTACAATGCATGACCATTTTTTTCCCATACTGATCATTATTTATTTATGATTTTCCTATGAAGATTAAACTGAACCTCACCTATTTCTTTGCAAATTAGCCTAACTATGTAATTTTTAGGAGTTTTTCTAACACATGTTTTATTGACCTTTCAATTGTGTCATAGATTCTTGAGCAAAAAAAATTTGAATCTGGACTTTGTCCACGATATCCATCTGTGAAGATATAATATAACATCTGCAGTGACTCATTTTGTCTAACATGGCTGCTGAACTTGTCCCTTAAAGCACTGGTCTTTAATGTTCCATTTGCTACTTTGATTGATGAAAAAAAGCCTTTATATCCTCCTTGCTTTTACCTCTATTCATTTTTTATTGTCTTCTTATCTTGTCTAATGCTTATTAACATCATTTCCAATTACTTTTCAATTATCTTTTAATTTTAATTAATTTTAATTTCCAATTACCTCCCAGTACTATACACTGTTTATATATACTATATACTATATATACTATATACTATATATACTATATATATACACCATATACTGTTTTTCATATCTTGAATTAGATTATTTTTGACCAACTCATTCAGCCTTAGTTTTATTTAGCTTTCTTCTTCTCTAGGGAAAATATTTCCCTCTATGTTTTTTGAAATTTCATTGTTCTTGTGTTTTTATATTTTTAAGTCTTCACACAGAAGGTGGTTGGAATATAAAATTCTCTTCCACAACTCTGGTTGAGTCGATTTATGTTAAAAGGGAATTAGATAGATACTTGAAGAGAAGGAAGAATGGGATGTATGGAAAATGAGTCGGAGTAGTAATCTAATTACACTAGATTACATTAGATGGCTCAGGGTTAATGGCTGAATGGCCTGTTTCTGTGCTGTTACATTCTATGATTTCCTACTCCCTTCCAATGGCTGTTATGAGCTCTTAACAAACAGATATACTCCTCCTATTAGCATCACAAGTTAATAACTGCAAAACAATTTGTACCTTCTTAGCTCCATCCCATGCCAAATTCTTGTTTATGTCCTCATAAACCACAAATCTGTGATTTCAGTACACTACTGCACAATTGGCTGCTGCATTTCACCCACAAAATACATTGTCAATCTATTGATATGTTCTGTGAAGCACTTTGAATGGTCTCAACAACGTGATAAGGCACTATATCAAATGCAAGGATTATTACTATTGTTATAATAAATATTTTATATCTCCAATTTCAAAATGTTAACAAAATATTTATATTAATCTCTTCCTCTCCCATTTTGATGCTTTTGTCTCATGTGGTACCATCTTTGATCAGTCACAAAGCTTTATACGTCTATGTGCAAATCATTAGACCATTCTCTCAAACCTAGACTGAAGGAATTTCAATTATTATACATAAGCTTTTGCCAATTGATCAGCGATTCATTCTATCCCAGGATTACATGGAAGAAGAAAGGCCTGGACTGTATTCCTATAAATTGGATTAGTTCTTGGGATGTCCTGCAGACGTGAAAGGCGCTATACAAATGTAATCTTGTTGTTGTTGTTGTAGTTCTAATTATGGTGTAGGGGTTTCAACTGGCTCATTGAGTCACTAAGATTCAATTCAGGACATGAATGGGGCATTGGGAAATCTAAGCCTGTTAATAGGTGAACAAGATTGAAAGACATATCTGGTTAGGTTTTCCTGGAGAGACTTAACGCAATAGATCCTGGAACTGAGCTGTTGCCCAGCCAACAATGCTCCAGTTAAATTGGTCATTCACCTCCTCT